AAGGCAGATGCTTAACGACTGAGCCACCCAGGCATCCCTGCTGATACTTCTTTATTTGTTTCGTGGTTAACATTTTTCCAGTGAGCGTTTTTTCTACCTTCCATTTATTTTTTCATGTTACTTCCCTCCTTTTATCTTTATAGTGAATTTGTACAGATTCTGTGTTTGATCCTTGACAGGAGTGAGTCTTCCCTGGGCCAACTGCTTGGGGTAGGTCTGTGCTGGGGAGGGGCCAGGGCCACAGTGCAGGCTGACTGGCATTTCCCACATGATCTGGAGGGTTCAGTGGGTATCTGTGTAGCCTTGGCTTCTCCCCAGCCAGTGGAGACGGCTGTGGGATCCTCTCCTTCTGGAGTTATCTTTCTGCTTCCTCCTGAACTCACCTTTGTTCAATCTCTACTATTTTTGGCAGCTTTTTCTTGCATTTCAAATTTTGGGTTTTTGCTGACACCTAGTTTTAATGAAAATGGACTTCACACTTTTGCTTTTTTATTCTTCTTATTGCTTCTGGACAATTCCTAGAAAAGAGAAGAGAAATGATGACTTTCCTGACCATGGTCAAGCCCACTGGCTATATGGGAACACAGAGTGCTCACGAATCCGCTGAATGGCTGTGCACGGCCGTGAAATTGCATCATGTCATGAAGCAGGAAATGATGTAATCAACATACGGTCCATTGGGTCTCCCAGCAAATGCTAAATGCTCCCTGCTGTTAGGTGAGAAAACTGAGAAGCCAGAGGTGATGTGCCAACGCACAGGATTTGATCTTAGTGTTTGAGCGTTGCTTCGCATCATGGCATCCAGTAAGAGGCTAGTCTTTAGTTACTTGGAATGAGTGGAAAAAGCATGGCAACCAGAAAACCCAGCTGTGGGCTTCCATCATAGGTGTAACCAGAGTCTGCTCCTTCCTGTTCTGTGAACTTGGCTTTCTTACTTAATCTCAGAATGTCAGGCTTTCCTCTTTGTGGGCATTTTGATGCCTCACCAATAGAGTTACTGTGCAAATTACAGGAGAGAGAATATCTGAACACATATCAACCACCATGCTTGGCCCACTGAAGTTAGGTGTTCGCTCTCTCTTTCGTGATCTTTCTCTCCATAGATCGGCTTTACAGTGGGTTTTTTCGAATCACCTAGGGAAGAGACAGAAGAATGACTTCTAAGTGTCTGTTCTTTTCAGTAAGGATTTTTCTTTTGCTCGTTCCTTTAGTTCCAGCAAGAAAGGGCCTGGCCGAAATGGGGATAATAATAGTACCCAATGCATGTGATTGTTCACAGGAGAAATGCTTGGCACTGGGTATGGTTCACGGGCAGAGCACAGTGAGTGAGAACTGCTATTCTTGTGATTTATTATCATCATCCCCCTCATTCACACTGCATCACCCAGATAAACAAAGAGCAACCATAAAATGCAGTTGGATAAAGCATCTTTTGTTCCTTGGGATAATTACAAAGACCAAATAATTATGAATTGTTCTGACCTCCAAATCTTAGCTATTACTACCGTCCATTTCCTTCCTTTCCTCCTCCTTTCCTTCCTTCCCTCCTGGGGAAGGGAGCGGGAAGGACGTCCATTTCCTTCCTTCCCTCCTTCCTTCCTTCTTCCCTCCCTCCTTCCTTCTCTCTACCATATTGTGTAACAAACTGGGAGATGGACCGGTCTGCAAATCACCTTTCCTTTTGCTGAGCTTCTCTCTCCGTGTGTGTGTGTTTGCACCTACGTGTCAATTATAAAGAGCAAACTAAGTGCAAAGCACTATGCAATGTGCTTTACTGGCTATCTTATTTTATTATCAACACTAACCCTGTTAGGTAGAAATGATGATCTCTATTTAAGAGATGAGGGAAAAAAAGGTTTTGAGAAACTTGCTCAAGGTCACAAAGCTAGTAAGAAGCAGGACTCCAGGGGCGCCTATGTGGCTCAGGCGGTTGAGCAGCCAACTCTTGATTTCAGCTCAGATTATGATCTCAGGATGGTGAGATCGAGCTCTGTGTGGGGCTCTGCATTCAGCGGGGAGTCTGCTTGGAATTCTTCCTCTTCCTCTGCGCCCCTCCCACCCACCCCCACACTCTCATGCTCTCTCTAAAATAAATAAATCTTAAAAAAAAAAAAAGAGGTAGTTGAATCCAGGGCCTGAGTTGTTTCTGTGATGTCATACTGTTTCTTTATTGATATTTCCTGTCCTGAAATCCCCCTTCATTCAGGAGAAGGGAGACCCAAACCCCATTCTTTCCCACTTCCCCAGCTCTATGTGCACCCTACTGCCCCCTTGTGGAGCTCTGCTGCTCCTGCACGGTTGCCAGAGGGAGTGGGCGCAGCCCTCAGCTGAGAGCAAGATGAATGGGGACTGGGTGCTGGGCTGGGCCACGTGGCCTGCTTTCTTTTGTCCTTCGAGTGGCGATAGGAATTCGACTTCTAGGGTTGTTGTGAAAGTTAACTAAGGTGATGAGTGTGAAAGGCCTTTGTAAAACCAGAAAACACAAGCCATGCGGTAAGGTATTAAGGGTCTAGGGTTCCCCTGACTTCTAACTGGCTAATGTAGATTCTTCATATGAGTCAAGGATGTTTGGTCCTCCTCCCACTGAAACATCAGGGTTTGTTCTGTTTTGTTTTTCTGGATGTTGTCCCTCGCTGTTGGGATCAGGAGCAGCAGGAAGAAATTGGAAAATCAGGAAGTGATCCATAGTGTCATTTTATTTACCTACCTCCCGATATTCCTCTGAATGTATGTAGGTGCACGTGTCTGTCTGCTACCCATCCTTCTAGGAGTCTTGCTTTTTAAAAGGAGATCTCGAAATCAACGAAGGACAGCACCGCAGGAAGGTGTAAGCACACATTCCCTGAACTCCGAACTAGGAGATGGACAACTTTCTTCTCCTACACTCTGGCTAGCCCTACGTTAGTCAGTAAATCTCCCATTTTGTCTGCTGCCTTTCAGTGCTGTGCGGACAAGCAGTGGGGAGACTGGAGGCCTCACTTGGCTGTGATTCTGTCGAATCAGGGTGGGGACCCGGAGCTGCTTCAGCGAGCGATTATCACCATGGGGGACACCCTGGGTAAGCAGAAGCCAGCCCTGCTACCCTCTTCTGTAGGGAGACAGACAAACATCTGTCTGTAGGCTCTTAGGTGCTGTGCTGGGCCCGAGTCTGCGCCTCAGGCTCTCCTTTGACCCAGGAGCCTCCGTGTTTGGGGGACAGAAACTCCAGGGAAGGGAGGGTCATTCTTGCCTCCATTTCCCAGAATTTCTGCTGCAAGCCAATGCAGTCCAGACCCCCGAGATTTGGGCTGTACGGCTAAAAGAAGCAACAGTTGGCTTTCTATCCCTGGTCAGATTCCCCTGAAGACGGAGTTAACACTGGGGGACCTCGGCTCCTGTTATGGTTAGTCGTACAGTGACCCAGCTCGGCCAGATAGCAAGCTCTGTCTTTGCCCGAACTACCCTGGGTAATTGTGTAATCTGTACTTGTATTCTCTCTCGTGAACGTGGTCTTATAAACACTTAGGGGCTATTGGATGTTCCAGATCAGTGGTTCTCAGATTTGGTTAAGGGGCAGAACATCTAGAAATCATGATAGTCTTTGTAAACGTTGTGGTATAGTGCTCCGTTAAACTGAAAATAGCTGTGTGTAGGGTTTGCCAAGTCAGCTAGCAGGCTGCTCACACTCGGGCAGAAGGGGAAGTAGGATTTGTTTAGTCCTTCCTGGGTGCCAGGCACTGTGCTGGATACTTTACCTACTTGAATTAATTCAGTTTTGAGGTAATGGGAAATGTATGGGAGAACATTCTGGAAATGGGAACAAGGTGGTGATTATTTTGAATTTTATAAGCCCTGGAAAAAGTTTCCTATTGTTTGACTTCGGCAAGAGAAACATTAGTGCCCCAAGAAGCCTAATTTAAAAACGGCTACTCCCCATGGCCCCCATCTTTGCTCAGGTGTATGCATCTGCTTCCTTTTCACCCTCAGGAAGGACTAAAATGCTTAGCAAATTCCAAATGACAAATACAGGAGGGGAACAGGAATTAGTGACCTATTCTGACCGAAGAACATTGGCGTGTCCAACTGAGGCCAAGAACGCGGGTGGGAGGGGGTGTGCGGTTTGGTGCATGTGACTCCTGATGAGAGCCGTTCTCCCCTGCGCCCCCTTGAGGACTCTCCCGTCTGACCCCCGAGCACCCCTGCCGGCCCTCTCCCATCCCGCCCAGAAAGTGGGTCCCCACACGGCATGCTCTGTGACTGGGGCTTGCTCTCCTCCTCCCGCAGCGGGGAAGGGGCTGGTGGAGGCCGCCCACTTCTGCTACCTCATGGCCCACGTGCCCTTCGGCCACTACACCGTGAAGACAGACCATCTGGCCTTGCTTGGCAGCAACCACAGGTGCGTGGTCCTCTGGGGAAGGGAGCGGGAAGGACGTTTTCTGGGGGATTGTTTTAGCCCGGGCTGGGTTTCTCGGCTCCCTTTTCCATTTTCCCCTGTGAATTTCAGCTGCTGCTGCTCCCTTCCTCTGGGTCTTTCCTGCCCGGAGCTGGGCAGGCAGGTGCCCGGTGGGTGCAGCATCACACCACCAGGGGGCCTCAGGCCCCAGTCCTGCTCCCCCAAACTGGCTTGTGTGCCTTTGGGGTGTATTGTGCCCCTCTGACCACTGGGTGGCACCCTGGCTCCATGAGCAGAGGTCACCTCTTGTGACTCGTTAGTGCTCTCCGCGCGGCTTGTGGCTCCGTGTTAGGCAACCCTGGGCGGGCCCAGAGTCCGCCCTGCGCGGAAGTGGAGATTGGAAGACGTTTACGCTTACTCTTTACACCCCTACACCGACTTGGTGCACAAGCTACTCAAAGTCCCACCTGTTACTTATTCTTTGTTGGCTGTAACATCAGGCTTTTCACGCAGAAGGATCTTCATAATCCTGTAGACAATGAATAAATGGACAGAAAGACCCGTTTGCTTCCTAGCAGTCCTCCGTGTTCTGGATCTCTCTTCTCCCCTCCCCGTAATAGTTAAGATTTCCTAAGCCCTTACCCTGTGCCAGTCATTTTATTTGCACTGTTTCCTTTAATCATTACAGATTGACCCTATAAATAAGGTATATTTTTAACCTTCACTTGATAGAGGAGGGGAACCAAGGCACAGAGAGGTTAAGTAACTAACCTGAGATAGCACAGCTAGCGTGGGGTCACCCTGGACTTGGAACCTGGGCTGTCAGGCTGCGAAGCCCCGACTGATCACTGTTGCACCAAGCAGCCTACCTCTGCGGAAATGGCGGTCTCGTGGCGGGCTCTCTCCTGTCATGGTCTCCGATGGTGTCTAGTGGGCTTGTCACATCCCATCTGTGCCCAGTGTGGCAAGAAATGCGTAGGGCTTCATTCGTCTCTCTCCTATGTTTGTGTCGCATGAGGGCATTTCTGGGGATAGCCGGGAGGGACCGTGAGTTCAGATACCACAAGCTGTTGGGGCACGTGGAGGCGTCTGGAAGCCCCTTGGATCACCTTCGCTCAGCCCACTTCGTCTTTGGCTGAATGGACACCTGGCTCAGGGACTGTCATTTGATTTTTGGCTCAGCTGTCCTCCCCATTCTTGGCCACCTTTCTCGGTGCTCTTGGGGCCCCACATCACTCCCTCTTCTCTTTTGTTCAGGCCAAGAGTGGCCTCTCACAGGTGCACGTTCTAGGCCTTCCAGGCACTAAGGTTCGCTCTCAGTGTGTTTAAGAGGAGCACCCAGTGCCCTGCCGAGGCGGGAGGGAGAGCAGCTTGCCTTAGGGGACCCTCCAGCAAAGAAGGTGGAGGACCCCACTCTTTTCTGCAATCTTTGCTCCCCAGCACCTCTGGTGCAGGCCCGTGTTCTGTTCCATCTCCAGCCTCAAGAAGGTGGAACGAGAGGAGGCCAAACATTCACTCTGGAGGCCCAGAGCGTCTTTCCTGCCTGGGAGCCGTCCCAGGGATCAGCCCAGGGCGGAAGCTCTACCACAAACGGGTGCAGCTGGTGTTTGTCTGCTAGGATCGAAACCCCTCCCCTCCCACCATGCCTCAATTTCTTTTATTATTATTCCCTGGTTTTAGTCAAGAGTTTTTGAAATTTGCAACGACTGAGGCTATCCAGAGGACGGAAATCTTCGAGTACTGTCAGATGCTGGGCCGCCCCAAATCCTTCATCCCTTCTTTCCAGGTAACGCACGACCGTCAGCAGCTGGATTTCCAGCTTTACTATTTGGCATGGAGTAGCTGGGCTAAGTCATCGACAGCACTTTTCTTCATTAGCTTGAGTGTGGGAAGAGTTAGGATTTCTTCCTAGGTCTCCTAAAGGTCTACATTTTAAGATATGAAAGCAAAACACGGCAGCGCCCCCTCTGCTGGAGGCTCCTGCCTCCCACCTGACAAATGGAAATCAACCAGTGTCCTGGGGTCTCTGCTCCTCACATCTGCTTTGCAGCAACTTCTGCTCTGCTCTCCCCAAACAGCTCTCCCTTCTCCTCTGCCCCTTGGCCATCCTGCCGGGGGTGGGAGAAGGAGGCCCAGCCCAGGGGCTGCCCAGCCTGCTCCCTCGGTCTGACCTGCTCCTGCCCTCTCTTTTGGACCCCTCTGTCTTTGAGCTCTGAAAGTTCCTCCTGGCTCCGTCCCCGGTCCTCACCCTTCCTTCTTCCCTTCGGGGCTTCAGCTGTGCAGGTGGAGTGCAGGCTGCGGGTTCTCCTCTCTTCTCTCAATTTCTCAGCTGGATGCCCTGTTGTCACCTCAGATTCATCAAGACTCCTTCAGAGCCTGCCCCCGGAGTGCACCCAGCCACACACACACACACACTCACCCCACAACACAAAGCACAAAACCAAACCTTGAAAATGAGTGAATTAGTTATGAGAAGGGAAGTGACCCCATTAGTATCTTCTTTCGGTCTTTTACCGAAGACTCTCCTTCCCCGGCAAAGCCATGCCAGACCAGCTCCCTCTTGAACAGTCCTTTCATCCCTCTCTCCCTTCTTGGGTCATCCCCCCCTTTCAGTCTCCTCTGGGCTGAGAGTAGGGGATTAACTAGTTTTAGTGAGTACGCTCTAGGTGCGGGCATAGCGCTTTTGTGTTTTTAGGGTATTCCTTCTCATCCCGTGAGGTGTGCATGATTCCCCCCTTTCCCAAAACAGGAAATTGAAGCTCAGAGGAGTTACATGCTCTTGGCTCACATCTCTTGCGTACCATTTGTTCCAAGACCTTTGCGTGGATTATCTAATTTAATCTTTACAACAGCCAAAGGGTAAATAGTATTATTATCCCCATATTAGAGTGAGGAAACTGAGGCACAGGGGGGTGGGATAACCAGCCCAAGGTGGCACACCCAGTGTGGAGCTGGGATTTGACCTTGGACCTGTCTGATTCCCAAACCGTCATGCTCCATCTTGCTCTACCCCTCATGCTTCTGTGAATACCCGCCTGCTCTGCGTCTGAGTCATTTCTTCTTCCTTTCTATGTCCCCCCTGGTGCCTGGTCCTCCACGCCACCTACACCAGGCTTTCCAGGTGGCTGGACTTCCTGATAAGAAGTAAGTAGTCTGGTGTATTTTGATGGGGACTCGGTCTACGGAGACTGAACTGATGGTGACTCCCATCACTCTCTCCATGATGCGGGATCTGCAGGCTGGATTTGAAATTGTGCCCATACCCAGATAGGATGCCCCAAATGGCACAAGGCCCTCCTTGAGATTTGGATGGCAGAGTTAATGGGAGCTGGCTTCCAGGAAGTCTTATCTGCGTTCCTCTCCTTCTATGCCTGCCTGGATGGACTCCTCACTGGCCCTGTTCCTCTTCACAGGTGTATAAGCTCCTTTATGCTTCCCGGCTGGCAGATTACGGCCTTGCGTCCCAGGCCTTACATTACTGCGAAGCCATTGGCGCGGCCCTCCTTAGCCAGGAAGAGAGCAATCACCCAGTGCTGTTAGGGGAACTCATCAAGGTGAGTTTCTCAAAGGGTTCTCTGCGGGTGTTTTATATTCGGCGTTCAGAGAAAGCTATTGTAGAGTAGCTTAGACTCCACATCTCCTTGGAACATGCCGGAAAATTGGAGCCCATGGCTGTCTTTGACCACGTACGCGTGCCCAGGTGTGATAAGCCGAGTCCTGACACCACACAAAGAAACAGGCAGTGGGCGGACGGTGGTGGGATTGGGAGACGGGAAACCAGGCGTGTGCTCTGCCAGAAACTTAGTCTTGCAACTGCTTTTCTGGGACAGTGAAACTGCACGTTACGGTGAACCGTTCTAATTATAAACGCCGGACTTGGAAAATATATTTTAGTGATTAAAACAGGAAATGATCCTTATTAAAATGCTTTTAAATGCATGGAATATTTTATCACATGTGGGATACATTTAAAAAACAAAACAAAAACAAATCAACTCTTAGTTCCTGGGGAAAAAAACAATCAGGCAAATAGTAGTTCCAATTAACCGAAGAAAAATCCATTAGCTAGAGAGTCCAGCAGCCCACGGTCAATTTTTGCTTTGCTTTAGATGAGTCCCGAGGGTTGGATCCTATAGCCAACCCATCTGTAGTGCCAAGCCCCCTGCCCCTGAGGGGTCTGCCAACAGGTCGAGGGCTGTAGCGCCTCAGGGACCTGGCATGGAGGAGCTGGGAGGTTTGGGGACTTCATAAGGGAGTAGAATCTTGCAACACAAGGTAGTCCCTCGACCAGCAGTGTGGGCATTACTTGGAAGCTGGTTAGAAATGCAGCATCTCAGGCCCCACCCAGAACTCTGGGATCAGATTTAGCATTTTAGCAACAGTCCAGGTGGTTCCCCAGGGCACTGGAGTTTGGGAAGCCTCGCTAGAGGCTCTACCCCTCTTTGCAGAGCTGCAGAGCTGGGTAACAGTTTCTTCTTACATCTTATGGAGGATCTAACACCAAGATGGGTTAATTGTTTATGTTGCAATTTCGGGAAGGTACCTGCTGAATTTGCTACCTCTCGGTTATTCTTTGTAATCTAATTGGCAAGGGCGTGAAGATTGTCTTTATCCCATTCCCTTATTGCCTCGTTCCCCATTGTGTTTCTGTTTCTCCTTTCCCCTCTCTTACCTTCACCTCTGACCCCACTGGAAACCTGGCACAGCTAGCAGAGAGATTGAAGCTGTCAGATCCCTTGGTTGTAGAGAGACACCGTGGAGACAGGGACCCAGAGCCAGCCTGGCTGGTGCCCCTTCGCAGGCGGTTCGAGGAGCTGGCGGTGAGTGGGGCTGGAGCCGGGCCAGGGGCTGAGACCTTTGTTTCTCTCTTCGCTCCCCTAGCACCGAGTAGGCAGGCACTGACCTTGGCAAGTCCCCGACCCCGTGGAGGGCCCTGAAGTCCCCCAGCACCCATGAGGCACAGGTTGACCGGGGCAGGGGTGGCGCTCAGCCTCCCAGCTTCCCGCCCCCCCCCCACCCCCCGGTCCCTGTCTAGGGTGGAAAGGGTTTCCTGTGTCAGCCTGTGAGACCTGGGGCCCTCTTGCCGATGCCCCTTGCCACCCTTCTCTGGGGTCCTAGAAGATACATTTTATGCCATTAAAGCTTTCATCTCTCTGTTAGGATCTACGGATCACAGTGGACCCATGTCACTTTCATGGAATGTAGGGCAATTGCTTAAAAGATTTCCAGGCCTTTCCTTTTTGTTCTGACAAGTGCAAAAGCTGCCAGCGGTAATTGTAACATAATTGGAACGGGGCTGCCTCCATTCTCTTTCTTCCGCCGTCTCTGAAGACAGGACAGGGTGGATTTTTCAAGGCACACGCAGCCCTGATTCCCGCCCTGTGTTACACACACGGGGCCCTGGGCCCCGCGGTCTGGTCCCTTCCACTTGCCTCTTCCTCGGGGAGATGATGGATGGCGCTGGTGTCCTGGTCCCTGCCTGCTCTGAGCAGGGCTGAGGCTTCCCTCCTGCCCATGTGCCTCTCCCACCAGCCCTTGGCATTCAGGCGACATTCCCCTACCTTGCCACTCCCTCTGAAGTTTCTTTTTGACTTGATTTTTATTTTTTAAAATATTTATTTATTTAAAGATTTCATTTCTTTGTCAGAGAGAGAGAGTGCGCGAGTGCACTAGAAGGGGGAGCGGCAGAGGGAGAGGGAGAAGCAGACTCCCCGCTGAGCAGGGAGCCCGATGCAGGACTTGATCCCAGGACCCCGGGCTCATGACCTGAGCCGAAGGCAGGGGCGCTTAACCGACTGAGCCACCCAGCCACCCCTTGACTTAATTTTTAAACTGTTGTTCCCTGTTCTTGCTTTTCTTTGTGTGGCTTAAAAAGATTTTACTTTATTTTACTAGCACAAGGTAGCAGGAGACACTGGGGATCTTCGTTCTGCTCACTCAGATACTTCGGGAGCCAGAGGGACGGCAGGTACCCACCCCGACGACCTGAGTGTGGGGAGGGCTGACGCTCAGCACCTGGTCATACGAGATGCAGACCTTAGGAAACACTCTGCTTGCCCTTCCTGGAGCGCTTCCTTGCCTGTTTCAATCTGACCCATTGGTCCAGGCACCTTCTCTCCACAGCTCCGGCCGGCCACAGGCATCCCAACACTGCTAAATTCCCGCATTGTGAGAGTTTCTGCCTCACATTCAGGTTTTAATCCTCATTGTATTGTGTTGTGATCTCATGGTTTCGCCAGCCTCAGTAGCTTCCCCCCAGAGAGGAAGCCAGAGATGGTGGATTGTCCATACGTCATGTAGGTGCTGGAGATATAAGAAGGTTTTTTTGAGCTATCAGTTTGAGTTTTGAGCATTCGATTGCTATACACATGTGACATACGTTTCAAATTATTTTCAGCACGTCCCTCCTTTCCCCTCAGGCTTCCTCTGGGCGCTGGGTCGGGCAGAAAGTATTACCCCCAGCTGGTTCTGCGCCCTTTCCTCCAGCTACCCCCCCATAGTGGGGTCAGGGCAGGGCTTCTTCTCTTTACTTCTAGCCGTTTCCCACCCTTTAGCACTTCCATCACGGATGAGCAAGGGGAAGGCAAGGCAGGCAGGCGAGGTTTCTGCGCCTGGGCTTTGGCACTATGTCACGGAACCTGTGAAGGTCACGGGCTGGAGGGGAGCCAGGCTGGGTGTTTCTGAATGCCGCTTCTGCTAGGAGGCAGCTGTGTCTCTCATCATCCAGCTGAGCATGTGGGCCAGCAGCCCCAGCAGCCCCGTGACCTTGGGCCCATCACGGCACACGTCCACACCACCATCCATCTCACTGGCAAAATGGCAGAGCCCGAAGGAATACCTCCACGCTTGCTTCCAGGGCAAAGCCATCATGTCTGTGGTCCGATTCGGGTTTTAACTAGAAACTGTTCAAACACCCAAGTCCATGAGGAAATCCTTAAAGGGGAAAGTTTATCCCAAAGTAAAAAAGCATGGCATTAAATGAGGTGGTAATTTCTATCCCCCCAGTGCACTAATGTGCTCCTTTAAGGCTCGGAGATCATACACGGGAGTGAAGGAAATCATTTTGTCAACTCTAAGTCATAAGCAGTGAGAGGCGTTCCAATCACAGCTGGGTTGTACTTGTCATTGCATGAACGGCAGCCACATCGAGCGGCCTGTCTTTGTGACTTCTTTCCAAGGAGGACGTGGGCAAGAATGGTTCTGGTGTGATCGGTCCATTCTAATGCCATATTTCAGGTCTCAGCTCTTCTTCTTTGCCCTATGTCCTTAGAAAGCACTTTCTACCATGATCTTTCGGGACATCAAAGCGACTCAGGAGCCCTTGGGGACCGCTCAGCCTTGTGGCCAGCCCTAGAGCAGACGTGGCCGTCCCAGCCCAGCCTGCAACAGCCCTTTCCCCACCCAGCAGGAGGAAGTGTGGGGCAGACCGGGGTCCCTGTGCCTCTTTACTCAGTTCCTGGGACTGGTGGCAGCCTGGCCGTGACAGGGACTCCTGGAGGAGGAGCCTGGGAGGAAACCCAGCAGATACACCCACCCGTTGGTAAGACCTGGGTGAGGAGTTTTGAAGGGGAGGAAGCAAAGAGGGAGGTGGAGGGACCAGTAGGAGGAGGTGGGGTCAGAGCCGATAAAGCCCTGAATGGTGGGCGTGCGCCTGACTACGCGGCAGCCCTGGGGCTGGTACTTTGCATGCGTCCCTGCATGCACTGCAAAGGAGGGACGCTGCTCCCTTCCTTTGCAGTCTGCCTCTCCACTGGGACAAACGACAAGGCCAACAGCAGTTCCTCCTGCCCTCCTCTTGGATGCATAGTTTCTAGAAGAGAGGTTGCAGGGTGGAGGAAGGAGGGAAATGCCATCTGCGCCTCCAGCTGTGTCGTCCTGCACCCAAGAGCTCACTGTCAGGGGTCGTTAGCAGAGGCCCACTCTTCTGTCCTGCTCCCAAGGGTGGTGATGGGAAACAGAGGGGCTGAGTGTGGTGAGCCGTGCTGAGTGACACCAGGGGAGCTCTGGATTAGATCTTCAACCTTCTAAGATAATGTCCTGTCCAAGACAGGAGGCTCAAATGGAGGAAAGTCGGGAGGATCCCTGTGATCTAGTTCCACGTGGCCCTGGTTTCCAGGATTCCTAAGGAATGGCTTGGCTTGGAGTAGAGGTCAGGTGACCAGCATGTCTTCAGGCGGCTGGAATTGAGAGGGTTTTGTATGTGGACTTCACATTAATGTGACCCACTTGGAGTCCTGGGCTTGGACCTGCAGCTTCTTGGCAATTAGAAAAGCTGACTGCATCTCATTCTTTCTTCAGGTTAGATAGGAAAAGCTCAAGTTCAAATCACGGTGTTTGTGTTTTGTGCCATAGGAGAGAACACAGTGTCTCAAGGAAGTTTCCAGCATCCTGATGGTCAGAATGTTGTTTCCCAACCCCAGGTGAGAAGACAAAGCACAGCAGATGCCTACTCTAATGCTTCAGGTTTTTTCCAATGGCCCAGATTTCTTAGCCATGTGCAGACTCCTTCTTCTGCCTGGTACCTGCTCTCCCTTCCACACTGTACCTTGTTTCACCAAATCCTAGTGGTGGGGAGGAGGGCCATGTTCTTGACACAACCAGTGTCCATGGGGGGAGGGGTGGCGGGGCCGAGTTTTGTTTTGGCCTCAGAGATCTCTCACATCCTCTCCTCACCGGTTGCACCAAACACTCACCACATCCTGCCCTGTCATGGGGGACTCTTGATGCTTATTTCTTTATTGTAATTTTTACCTCACTTTCTTTCCAAGAAGGATTTATGGCCGCTGTGTCTTTTCTCCTCAGTTAGGCTGGAAGGTCTTGGAGGTGGCCCTGCCTAATTGACTGTGTTAGCTAGCAGTCCAACGACTGCACCCTTCCCCCAACAATGGGTATTTGAGATGTTCTTCAGTTTTGCCTGAAGGCTGGAGGGTTTCATTGTATAAATTTGATCACATAAATAGTGGTTACATCCTATAAATGTCTCAAGTAGTAATGGGACTGTAGGACTTAAAAACTTTTATGCTTTCCTTATTTTTTTCTGACTGAAATGTACTGTAGTACATTACTGTTATCGAAAACTTGAAAAATAAAGAAAAAGTATCATAAATTATCAATCAAATATTACTCATATGTTTCTAAATGTGTATAGAAAACTTTATTTCCTTTTTGTTATTTAATACTATAAAATGAGGTTTTCCATGTCATTCATAAATGATTTTTTTAATTTATTATTTTATTGTTATTTTATTTCTTTTTAAAATTTATTTTATTATGAGAGAGAAAGAGAGAGCATGCCAGCCCGAGTGGGGGGGAGGGGCAGAGGGAGAGAGAGAAGCCGACTCCCTGCTGAGGGAGCCCTATGTGGGGCAATTAGATCACATAGCATAAAATTAGCAAAAAAATGTGGGGCAATTAGATCACGTAGCATAAAATTAGCAAAAAATCACCCAGGATCACAACCTGAGCCGAGGCAGACACTTAACCGACTGAGCCACTCAGGCACCCCTATTTTATTTTATTTTTTAAGATTTATTTATTTGAGAGAGAGAGAGCGCGCGAGTGAGCATGCAAGGGTGGAGGAGGGGCAAAGAGAAACTTAAGCAGACTCTGCGCTCAGCATGGAGCCGTCCATGGGGCTCCATCTCACCACCCTGAGATCACCACTTGAACAGAAACCAAAGTCAGACGCTTAACTGACTGAGCCACCCAGGTGCCCCCATTAATGATTTTTAATATTGGTATGATCAAGTCCATTATGTGAAAGCACCATCATTCATTCATTCATTCACAAATCCCAAGTTCCTATAATGTCCCCAGCACAGTCACAGGGCTGGGGACACACAGGGAGCCAGACAAAGCCTACTCCCATGTGCTTCTGTTTAGTGGAGGTGACTTAAATAAACAACTGTGTGCATGAGGGATTTTACTTTAGAGGGCTGGCTGGGGATTTTAAAAATGGTTAAATCGGTGAATTTTATGCTATGTATATTTTCCACCCCCCCACAAATATAAAGGCACATGGGCATATTTTGCCCTTCTCTGTTGCATTTGTTCGCAGTTGATCTTGAACAAGTCTGCTAGGAATGAGCTCTCAGATGAGTGAGGGTCAGTCTCTGTCCTTTTGGGTGTGTAGGTACCCGTGGGGTGTGTCCTGTCCCGCTTCCTCTCCACCGGGGGCCTTCCACATCCTCTGCTCCAGGCTTCAGCATAATTCTGGAACTTTGATGTGGGGAGGGAGCACAGCGGCCAGAGGCCCAGAGGATTAGGGGATAACACAAGGATGGGGATGGGCTCTGGCCTTGTCCTGCGGCCTTCGGCAAATCATTTCTCCTAGCTAAGCCTGATTTCCTCGGCAGTAAAATGTGAGCCTGTAAGGCCATCCCAGTGATTTACTGAGCGGGGCTGGTGAGGGAGAACATGTGATTTGCCCTCATAACCTGTCAAGTGCTATAAAAACGTTCGTTCTTATGTTCTTTAATTCCAGGTGCCAGCGATTCCCAGATCACGAAATAATTCTGAGAGTTCCACTGTTTCAGTCAAGGAGGATGAGGAGGAGTCCTCCGATGAGGCAGATAAAAAATCTTCCCAAAGCCTGGCACAGAAAGAAAAGCCAGGAGACGAGAAAGAGAACATGAAGGTGGATGGTCTTGTTCTGCCGTCCCCTTCCCAAACGGTGTGGGGGGCAGGCTTGGGAACCTAGGCTTTGGCAGGGCCTCCGACTCCCCAGCATCGTACTGGGGTGGGCCTGTCTCCTAGTCAGTGGGAGAAGCACACCTGTAGGCCCTAAATCTCCTCCTTTCCCTCCCAGAGCTCCGGGTTTGGCTGGTTCAGCTGGTTTCGCTCGAAGCCCACCAACAATGCATCCGCCTCTGGAGAAGACTCATCTGACAGTCCCAACTCTGAGGTAAGTGAGAGGGCCCCAGGGGCAAGGACCCTTCCTCTCCTGTGGGTCCATTGGAGGAAGTTTCCTCAGAGCCTCTGAGGCCCAGAGCTGGCATCTGGCAAGTGGCAAAGGCCAACTGGGTCTTAAAAATCAGGACGAAGAATATTAACTTTAGGGCACCAGTAGTTGTTTGATTACTGAGCAGAGGGGTGGCACGAGAGTTTTGGGGCGAGTCCCCAGCCGCAGGTCACAGGTTGGGGCCGCTGTTGTGGGCATGAGTTTGTTAGCATCCAGTACCTCCAACTCTGCCTGTCTTTCTCCACGACGCAGGAGACCTCCAGAGCATCTTCTCCCCCTGAGGCTGGCCCTGGCTTCACACTGACCTCTCTCCCGGAGCCCCAGTCTCTGCCGGACACCTTGTCTGGAGCGACAGGTACCGCCAACCTCATGTCCTCTGGGTCTGTGGGCTCTCTGGGTCTGAGGTACCTCGGGCCTTGGGGGTACCTTCTGAGAGCGGGCCTTCCTCAGCCCTGAGCAGTGGAAACAGCTCTGACTCATTGCTTTCCAGGCGAGGGCCAAGTCCGAGGATCAGCGTCCGGTGGGAGAGCAGCTGAGGGCGCTGGGAGTGAAGGCCTGTCTGGGCCTGAGGTGAGCAGCCCCTGGGCTGGAGCCTAGGGCCCCACCAGAGGCCTGCGTGTGCAAGGACTGAACATTCCGTGTGGGCTGGAGGTGCCACCCGGTGAGGGCAGAAAGCTTCTGTAGTAGTCTGTTAGGGCCACCATGACAAAATGTCACAGGCTACAGCTTAAAGTGATTTCCTCACAGCTCTGGAGGCTGGAAGTCTGAGGCAGGGTGTTGGCAGGGTTGGTTTCTCCTGAGGCCTCATTCCTTGGCTTGTAGATGGCCATGGCTTTCACAGGGTCTTCCCTCTGTGTGCCTCTGTGTCCAAACTTCCCCTTCTTATAAGGACACCGGGCATATTGACTTAGGGCCCACCCTAATGCCCTCATCTTACCTTAATCACCTCTTTATTTTTTTTTAAGTAATCTTTACACCCAGTGTGGGGCTTGAACTTACAACCCCAAGATCAAGAGTCACATGCTCTACTGACTGAGCCAGCCAGGCGCCCCCTCAAACACTTCTTTAAAGACACTACCTCTAAATACATTCTGAAGTACTGGGGGTTAGAATCTCCACATAGGAAGTTTCAAGGGGACATGATGTAGCCCATAACGACTTCCTTAGGTGAAGTCTAGAGAACGGCCTCTTTCCGTGTCCCAGAGTTCACCAGGGACTTTGGCAAGGGCTGTAAAAAGTTCTTGATGAATCGTCCACATGGTACAGATTTCATGCCGATTGCTAGGAAAACATTTTTATTTTCTTGTGGTTGGGTTAGAGCACTCTTGCAGTATTTTAGGCCTTTCCGAGAATATGATACTACTTTTTATGATGCTATCAAGAGAGTTGACAGTGGCTTTTTCTTGTCACTCGCTCCAGGTGCAGCAGACCCTGAGCCTCTGCTTTTGCCACCCCAGACCCAGGGGTTGGCCACTTGAATCACGTTTGTTTGCTTTATTTCCCTGAGGTCTATCAGGAAATCCTTTTCATCGGTATCTCTTGACCTAAGTTGACACTCGAGGGAAACCCTTGATGTTCTGGAACCAGAAGCGGTGACTGATGGGATTTTCTATTATTTTCCATCACAGGCTGTTTCCTCTGAGCTTTACTTCAGCCCTGGTGTTCTGCTTCCCCCAACTCCCTTGAAAGGAAGTGTTCCTCTCTACAACCCATCTCAGGTCCCCCAGGTAAGGGAGCCCTGAGGGAGAGGGGTTAGGAGCACAAATTTTGGATGAAGGCAATCCAAGTTTATATTCCTTGTTTGCCACTTAGTGTGTGTGGGTTCTTGCACAATGACTTACCCTCTATAAGACTCAGTTTCTGCATCTGTAAAGTGGGGTTAGTAGTAGCCACCTCGCGGGGGGTGCGTGAGGATTAAATGGGAGCATGTGTGTGAAGGGCCTCATGCATGGAAAATGCTCAGTCAGGGTCACTATTAGTAAATCCGCTCTTGACCTTTCACAGGTCTTGAGACTCTGAGAGACACATAGTGTTGGTACCAGTGGTGTGGAAATACCATCACTCCACCTGGGGGTGTCGGGATCATTGCAAACTTTGAGAGAAACTAAACTCCCTGCCCTTCAGTGACTTGGGAGTAGATTGATTGCTCTTATGTACCCATTTGGCCTTGTCTTTTTTTTTTTTTTTAAAGATTTTATTTATTTATTTGAGAGAGAGAGCACATGAGAGGGGGGAGGGTCAGAGGGAGAAGCAGGCTCCTCGCAGAGCAGGGAGCCCGATGCGGGATTCGATCCCGGGACTCCAGGATCATGACCTGAGCCGAAGGCAGTCGCTTAACCAACTGAGCCACCCAGGTGCCCTGGCCTTGTCTCTTAATAAAATTGAATTTCTTTTGCTATAGTTAAGAGGTGCAGATGTTGGGTGAAAGTAAATAATTAGAATATCACCATGGGAAGCCAAATGCAGCCTGAGTGTTCTAGACTCAGGATGCCCTAGCTCAGTCCAACCAGCCAGCCCTGGATGGAGTCCTGCTTGGAGCTATAATCTCAGGCAACCTTTTTTCTTTTCCAGCTCTCCATGGTTAGTAGTTTGAACCGACCGAATCGCCTAGCTCAGCGCCGCTATCCAACCCAGCCATGATGATAATGGCCACCCGTCCCAGGCTGGTCTCCTTCCTTGATTTCCAACCCCTCTGCCATATTGGGGCCCCCAAGAGGGTCCTGCTGGCCTATTGCCTTCACTGGGACAGGGTCTTCCAGGACACAGCTCAGTCCAGTCTCAACATTAGCTTCAGAATGATGGCTAGTACCACGTCGGGTGGAAAAGCTCGGTAGAACAGCAGACCGGAGGTGAGCAGGATGCCATGGCGGGAGCATTCAGGATGGTAGCTTCAGATCCTCAGGAGAGTCAAGCCAACTTGGAATTCCCTCAGCTGGAATCAAGACGAATCCACTGGGCTTTGCGGCAGGAAATTATTTGGGGGAGGCGCCCAGAGCGATATTCGTGACCAATGTTGATGCATTCCTCAGTCTTAGTTAGAGACCAATTCACAGCTCTAGTTAGCAAAGTTTATATGCTGAAACTTGATTATTGCTTCCCGGCAGAGCTCCCTCCTCACTGACATTTCAGCAGTTTCCCTCTTGGTCCTAGTTTTGTGCACATTTTTATGTGCTTCAGATTAATTATATTTCTCTCACTTTCTTAGCTGGTCCTATTTTTTCACATTCTGGCATCTGGCTATCAAGTTAGATTGCTGTAGGCATCATATTGTCATGGTAACTACTGAACCTAATGATGCAGATGGATGGAACATCAGTGTAATAAATGATGGGAAATGTTTCCTAAAAATTCACCCCTTCCATAAGAGAGGAGAATGAGTGCCTGATAGTGTTAATACCAGGCCTTTGCAAATGGATGTTGGGAGGGTCACTGGAGCCAGAGGGAGGAGGGGGACATCTTGGAAATTTCCAGTTCTCTTTTCAAACCCAAAATAGGGATGACTCTTGCTGTTTGTCAGATTTGCTGAAAATTGCTCCTCACAAAGAACGTTTTTTCTGTGTGTAATTGTACATATGGGTTTTGTACTCTAATGTACTACAGTTCTGATGTTGATAGCAATTAAACCAGATAATTTTATAGCAAATGCTTGTCTCTGGCTGATTTTTGCAGAGGGAGAGAGCACACTGAGCACACTCTTCCCTGAAGTGCTGCTAATAATGGTTTCATTGTGTGATAAGGTGCATATAGCTGGAAAGAGCCCTTTGTTAACGAAGAATCTGGGGACTGATCCTCTTAACTTCCAAGTCCACTCTGTTATTTTTTCAATTTAGAAAATAGGGACAAAACACCTCTGATGCAAATCAGTCACTCCATTAACTATTGCACTTTCTGTTCTCTCAAAAGTTTCTTCATCTCTCAGATTAAATTAGGAAATGTATGCATAAGTGTTTTTTGGACTGAGACGGCCCTCGGTAAATGCCGTTGCCTTATTTCCCCTAAAAGACCTCTGCCTTGGGTTTGGTATGCTGACACCCAGTGGCAGTACTATGGCAGCTGTGTGTGAGTTTCGGAGGAACCAAACGATTTTGACTTGGATCTCAGCACATGCGCAGTTCACCCACATCAGGCTCTCTGCTCGGCAGGGAGTCTGCTTCTTCCTCTCACTCTCCAACTGTGCTCTCTCTCAAATAAAATCTTTTTTTTTTTTTTAAAGATTTTATTCATTTATTTGAGAGAGAGAGAATGAGAGAGAGCGAGTACATGAGAAGGGGGAGGGTCAGAGGGAGAAGCAGACTCCCCGCCGAGCAGGGAGCCCGATGCGGGACTCGATCCCGGGACTCCAGGATCATGACCTGAGCCGAAGGCAGTCGCTTAACCAACTGAGCCACTCAGGCGCCCCTCTCTCAAATAAAATCTTTAAAAAAATTATTAGTAAACAATCTAATAAGTACAATCCAGACTGTCTCATTGCCTACCAAATTAAATTCTGGATCTTTCATTCATGATATAGGTAATGGAACAGTAATTTAAAACTACTTCTTGGGGCCCCGGGTGGCTCAGTAGGTTGAGCATCCGACTCTGGGTTTCGGCTCAGCTCATGAGCCCACGGTTGAGCCCTGCATCAGGCTCTGCACTCAGTGGGGAGTCTGCTTGAGATTCTCTCCATTTGCCCCTCCCCCTGCTTGTGTGTGCATGCAAATGCTCTCTCAGATAAATAAAAATAAATCTTAAAAACCCTACTACTCAATAGGTATCCTAATTACTAAGCTAGTTTCTCTTCCTGCATCCTGCCACCAATGCTAGGACATGTGGCTTATTGCCCCTGGGAACAATGGCAGAAGGGAAGGCCTAAGAAGCTCTTTAGAGGAGGAGAGTGAGGACTGAAGAGGAAGGCAAAGACCTCAGAGGCCTGTGTACTCACTTCCTCCTCCCATTGGGGAAATTTCTGGAAAATCCATGACTGAAGCATCACCAGAGCCGGCACTGAACTGAGTTACCTCCTAGGCAAGGGGCTACACAGCAGTGAACGACATTTCTGAGGGAAAGTCAGGGGGCTTTATGTGCTAGAAAGGGAGGAGGTCATGAGATTTATGCTAATTCACGATGGACAACTTGTGCTCTGCAAAGTCAGAGTGCATCCATTAATCTGCATGTGGTTGGTTGAAACAAGTCCCATTGTTCATTGGGCAGGAAAGAGCCCTCAGCTGGGTCTGGCAAGGTCTGATGACCAGGGTCACTCAGAGTTCTTGGTTGTTTATCAGCTTTTTTTAGTGGTGAGTTTGCTAAAGGTCCTGATTCTTTTATAGCTTCAGCTGGTTCGAACCAACTGTAGCGAAAGCAAGTGCATCTGTTTCCTTCTTTAGGACGTGAAAGCTTGGGGAGCAGAGCAGGTTGTGAGCGGAGCTGCTGGGGATTGGGGAGCCTGAGAGCATGGGGCTTGGGGCCCTTCCCTCATCCGTAGCTCTGGGAAGGCTGCCAGCCTGGAGAAGCTGGCTCGGACCTGGCAACTTGTCCAATGTGGCTTGAGAGTCATAGAAGCTTGGCCTTGGGGCTGGCCATGGCCTGAGGCAGAGCTGCTAGCCCCCACGGCCTGGCATATGTGGATGACTGCAGGGAATGATGGCCCAGTGTCCCTCAAGGCCACAAGGGACCAGCTGTGCCCCAGCAAGGCAGGGCAAGGCTGAGCCAGATCAGCCACCTGCTTTCCCATCACCAGGAGCCGTTTTGGGGAGCGAGGATGAGCAGAATTCTCTAAGGGAAGCCTTTACCGAGAGACCCTGCTTGAAAGAGAAGAGCCTGAGATATTATCAATTGGCAAGTTTGTTTTCTCCCCTAGTCTTCAATGGGGCGTGAGCTTGGAGGAAGAATACTTACAGGGAACAAAGAAGCTCCATTTTTCTTAAACTGAGTGGTGATGTGCAAGCGAGATCCTGCAATATGCATATAATTTAATATTTATATGAAAACATTTAAACTTAATGTTCAGTAATTTGGAAGAGAACAAACCATTACATTCCATGTACTTGTCTTTATCACATATCACCATTCCAGGCTTCTGTCTAATCCCCTTATTCGGCTAGAAAACTGCAAACCAGCCCGGCTTCCTCAGTCACCTGCGCGCCCTCCCCTTTCAGCCTTAACTCAGGCTTTAGGTTACTCAGGATCAAAGCCTCTGCAAGCTTTTCTCCCCCACCCCCGGAAGTCTTTTTTTTTTTTTCTCTTTGGTCTCTTCCTCTGGGCAACCAAGACGAAGAGCAAGAGGCTGCATCCACCTCTTCACTAAAATCAGAGTATTTTCTTCCCAAGAGGAAATATGCAAAACAGTCTTCTGCTTGAAAAGAATAATAGGTGTATAATTTGGGTCTGTGCACTCATAGGTGTTTCTCTGATACTCCACCCCCCCCCCCCCCCGGAGAGTGGAATGGAAGGGACTTTTCTCCTCTTCTGTTTGCCATCTTAAGCTGGAAACTGCCAACATCATGATCTGCACACCACAGGATGCGGGGCACTCACCTGAGGTTGCCGCTCAACGGGGCCCCCAACGCTGCCGGCTCTCATGAGTGCTCGAGCCAGGCCCCCGCCTTTCAGGGTCCTCCAGAAATGGCTCAATGAGATGTGAGGTTATTTTGAATGAGGGTTAACAGCATATTAAAAAGTTTTATTACAAGCTCACTAAGTAGAGGAATCTGCCTTCCATACTTTCTTCCTTTCTGTATGAATCTTTCCAGGTAATAGCTCTTCACCGGAACTAGGTCAACAGCAGCATAACTGGACTGACCTGAACAAACTGCTTGTTACTTGAACGTGAGGTGCTTTCCTGGTCTTTATCCACCTTAGAGCCGATTAAGTATTCAATTTTTAAAGAATCTCAAGAGGGGGATTCCACGGCTGCCCTCCAGGCAGCCCAGACTTTTACACCCTCGAACATTAGGAAGCGATTCCTAATACTTTATACCCAAATCACTCATGTGGCTCAGCAGAGATGGGGAGCAGCTGCTTACCACCACCTGTGCCCTTCACATTCTGGAAGGCCATTAAATCCTGTCTCAGCTTATGAAATGAAGGTTCACAAAATGGGATTTTCTTGACTAGAATTGGGGATGAAACGACCAAAAGGCTTGGAGTTTTCTGGTAGCTTCAGTGGCCGGACACCCTGAATTCAATAATAGTAATAATACTGAGTGTTTACTTTGTGTCAGGTGCTGTGGAATGCATTTAGTGCGGTGTCTGATATCATCTCAACATATTAGAGATGGAGAATCTGGAAACTCCAGAGAGATTAAGCAATTTGTCCAAAGGCACACAGCTGGTAAGGAGGGAGCTGGGGTCAGAATCCAGGTAGTTTTATTTTATTTTATTTTATTTGACAGAGAGAGTGGGAGAGTACAAGCAGGGGGAGCTACAGAGGGAGAGTGAGAAGCAGGCTCCCCGCGGAGCAGAGAGCCCGACATGGGACTCGATCCCAGGACCCTGGGATCATGACCTGAGCCAAAGGCAGATGTTTACTGACTGAGCCACCCAGGCGCCCCTACAATGAGATAGTTTTGGCACTTAAACTACTCACAGTCTATGGAGGGAGACAGACATGTAGACATAGAAATTACTACACAATGTGAGAATTTTATATTTAAAAACGTATTCAAAGAACTTGGTACCTTGATATCCCTTAATAACAGACTGGTTTCATCTATTTATATAACCTGGGGGCTAATATGTAATATGTTCAAATTGTACCACCTCTCGTAGGCTAAGCTCAAAGTTCAGTTCGCTGCTCATGTATCCAATAGCACATCTGTCAGCTGACGTTTGAAGTGGCACTAAGGTGGGGTGGGTGTGCAGCCCGTCTGAACGAACAAGAGTAATAGTGTGCTGGGCTCACAAGTACTAGGGAACAATGACATCTGAGAGAGAGAGAATCTGATTTCAACTTGCCAGACTGCCACACAGCATCCCCTCTGGCTTCTTCCTGCCCTTTGCAGGATTCTGAGGCAGGACAAGACTGACTATTGCAGTGGAGCTCTCGGAAGGGAAGGGTCCCAGGCGGGGCATGTGTGATTGTGTGTGTGTGCACATACGGGGCCGCCATCCCGGGAAGATGCCTTCTCAATGTATTTCTTCACCTAGGCTCCACCCCGGCCTTTGATTTCCTCTTCTTCACAATTCCTGTTTGCTCCCAAGAGAGGATCATTGAGAAGCTTCTTCATTAAGCATCATCCAAGTGGCTGATACTATGTAGATACCCATGGAGTCCCATTGACTAGAATAGGAAGTAATGGATCCTACGTCAATAATCCAGACATTTGGCTAGAACATTTTAGCTCATTTCTTAGGTTCCTGCAAATGGGTTCTTGGAAATCAAACGTCTTGACTTCTAAAACTTGTCTCTGAGTTCTAGGAGCCCATTGGGGAAAGTAAGAGATGATCACTGACTGTTTTTTGATTTAATATTTCACTGTTCTTGTGTTCTACAATCATGATTTAGGATCACAAGGAGACCGCATTGTCCTGGAGCAGAAATAATTTGAGTTTTGGGCTTCAAGATCTAATTGCCATTTCTTTGGATATTTAAATAAATACCCATGGATTAAAGAACAAAGCAGGGCCTCCCAGTCACAACTTTTTAACGTAATTTTTCAGTTTCTT